TGGTTTTATTCAGTAAATTTCAGCTAGTAGGTTAAGTTTTGATTCATCTTACTCTGATTTCTTCTCATTGGCTGCATTGTTTTTGGTATTTATCCATTCAAACCCATGCAGATTTTATTTCTGGATGTATAATTAGAAGGACAAAGGCATGTGGAATTCTAATGATACTGCATATAATTATGGTTCGTGACCATCATTCTTTCCCTGGGTTTCTCTAGAGTAAATAAATATATATGCACCTACCTTACTAAGATGGGCACGCTGTGTATATAGTTCTGTTAAAATAGAAGAGTCATACTCACTTTGTGTAGGTTCCAGAATTTGCTCGTTAGGTTTGTGTTGCAAAAATTATCAACTAAAATTTTATCTCCCTTTCATGCTGCTGTTGTGTGGTAATATTCATTCAGATGGTAAGAAAAAAAAGCTTATTTGTATGCTTGTTTTTATGGCTGCTTTTGGTTTCTGGTATTGATTTAGGATAAATTTCAATCATTGTTCCAAATTTCTTAGATTGTGTCTTGATATTTTTCTCATATGCCATCTACTTCACAGTAACATTTTTGTTTGTTTTGTTGCTTACTAAGCATTTAATGTAGAGCTATATGCATGTTATATGCATGTTACAAATGTGTTTTGCACTTGTTTGAACAAATTATGAAATTGGCCACAAACTGAATTGTGAATCATGAGCCTAGAACTCAACTTAGAACAATTCTAGCCTTTGTTTTTGAGATTTGTACCTGTGGCATTTTAGATTTGTGACAGACCTTCAAACTAAGAATTGATGCTGACAAGGGAGAAATGTAGACTACCCCTCTACCTTAATTTTGTCCATAAGGTTTTTCTAACACCAAAATTAAGATTTGCATTTGTTATACTTGTCAAGTTTGTGAAAAGTAAATGTAAAAAATGAAACACTAGATAGTTGGATCTACTAAAAGAAAAATGATTGTCACATTAAAATAATTATGTGAACAGGTAAACATGATTAACACATTATCATTTTCTTACTAAGGCCTTCCCCTAAATGTGCAGCATGATACTGTCTTTGAAACCGTTCTGTGTGGTGTTGATAAACAGATCATAGCTTCCCAGTTGTCTCATCTGCCTGTAGAACTAGAGGTAGGGGGCAGGGTATTTGTTAAGGAGAGGATTCATGTTGCAGGCAAGGAAAAAGACTGGTCAGGGTTGGCAGCATCTCATTACTGTTGGCAGGATTTCAGAAATGCTCCCTAAAATAGGACCAATCAGAATGTTTTTTCTTGACAGTTCATAGATTGTCAGTGACAGGTGCTGACTGCTTTCTGCAGAAGGAGGTCTATTTCTAATTGCTTATTGTCATATGACTTAAAGGACACTGAACTAGGGCAAAGGATGTATTTTAAATCATTCATAGTAACTGTTTGATAGAAAGCACTCTTAAAGGTAGACAGGATAGAAAGGGGGAAAGAAGGATAAATTATAGCATTCCACTTTATTTTGAAAAATGGGTAGTACTTTCAGATATTGAAATTGTCTAGCAGAAGTTTTGCGGTTTTGCACACAAAAGCGTTAAAGTTTTCACAGCAGTGTGACTGTACTTAATGCCACTTCACTGTACACTTAAAACATTATTAAAATGGTAAAATTTATGTTAAATGTATTTACCACAATAAAATAATACATATTTTTTTAAAGGAAGTAGTAAAGTGTTGACCCTATTAAAAAGGAAGAGGGCAGTATTTTGGAATTTTTAAGGACCTTGAAATTAACTGATAGTTTGAAACATATAGCAGAGAACCGATAATCTGTTTTTAGGTCATGAAAGTAAAATGTTTAAGATGCAATATTTTTGGTCTTTTTAGTAAAGGCATTTGTTTTCAGTAAAGATACCTCTTTTTTAAAGGAGAGAATTTAGGATTTCCATTTAGTAAGAGAGTATATGGAAAAAGAAATATCAGTAAGAGAAGTAGAATAATGGAAAGATCTGAAACTGGTATTGAGACAGGTCTCACTCTGTTTCCCAGGCTAGGGTGAAGTGGCGTGATCTCGGCTCACTGCAACCTCTGCCTCCTGGACTCAGGCTGGGACTATAGTCGTGTGCCATCATGCCTGGCTAATTTTTTGTATCGTTTGTAGAGATGGGGTTTCACCATGTTGCACAGGCTGATCTCGAGCTCCTGGACTCAAGGGATCCACTTGCCTTGGCCTCCTAACATGCTGGGATTACAGGCGTGAGCCACTGCGCCTGGCGGAACTGGTTAAAATATTTAGGGACTGGAAAAGCAAGGGGAAAGGAGGAAAGAAGTTGCTCTAGAGTAGGCAAACAGTAAATGGTATTGTTTCTGATGCATTGAACACTGCCTTCCAAAGTGAGTATTTTCTATTTGATGAGCTAATTTTAAAGTAATTATTTTTTCTTGCTTACCAGGAATTTTCTACTTCTGGTCATGCTTACACTGATACAGGGAAAGCATCAGGCAACCTAGAAACCAAATATAAGGTCTGTAACTATGGACTTACCTTCACCCAAAAATGGAACACGGACAATACTCTAGGGACAGAAATCTCTTGGGAGAATAAGGTACGAGAAAGCATTGGAAGTTATTCATAGGTTCAATTTATCTTGTAGACTGAATGATGAACATACCTCAAATATAATCAAAAGAGATCTTACAACCTATCTAGTAGCCATATTTTTTCTCTGCATGTGGCCTTTTTTGATGTCTTATGTTTCTAGAAAATAAGGCTTTGTTTGTGACTACTCTGATTATTACATTACATCTTTGTTCTGACTGGTTCTGTGTTACACAGCTGAGCTTCTCCTGGGTAGAACAAACTATTTGCGGAAATTTGGTTTAGTTTTGTAATTGTTGTAAAATTGGCTTGACAGAAAAATTCTTCTAAAATGTTCTCATGTTTTCAAGGAGAAAATCTATTAGATATTTGTCAAGTGCCTACTCTGTACAGGGCACTGTTTTTGATATAGATGCCATGTATAGATAATGTACATGCAAAACTGAGCAAAATGACTTAGCTTGCTTGTTAAATGTCAGGTTATCTCATTGCCACTCTTTCAAGAAGGTATCAAGATGATTTTGTTGTATGAGAATTCTGTTTGGTTTTGAACTGTATTTTATGTAACTTGTTAAAATAGGATTTGCCCCATTTTTTGGTGAGAGAACCATGATGAAGGCTGGGGTGAGGGGACAGGAGGATGGAGAGCTCACTTATTACATAATTTAATATTTTGCTTTCTTGAATGACTTCTTTTTTTTGTTAAAGAACTTAGAGGAGACTTTAGAATTGGTTTCTTCAGTTGGATAAATGATTGAAAATTACTAATTATTTATTTTAAATCTTTGTTTTTCAGTTGGCTGAAGGGTTGAAACTGACTCTTGATACCATATTTGTACCGAACACAGGGTAATTGTTCAAATCCTATTTCCTGAAATGTTTTTGGAGGCTGAAGGGGTAGAGAACTTTAGAATAAGAAGATATAGTGCAAAGTTCAGAGGCAGGAAGAACTTAGAAGGTTGCTATAAGGAATATTGGAGACCTTGTATATGTAGTACAGATAAAGGAGGATCCCTCCCCCTCAAGGCAGGATGAACAATTTGAAAACTGAATAGATGAACAAAAATGTATAAATCTATTTCAGAGAGACACATAGTAGAAAAAATTTAGGAGCTAGGAGAGTCTTGAAACCATAGATGAATCTTAAGCAATTCTGAAGTTTGATGGATGTGGTATTCTGCTGAAAAAGTTAATTCCTTTTGGCTGGGCGTGGTGGCTCACGCCTGTAATCCTAGCACTTTGGGAGGCCAAGACGGGAGGATCACGAGGTCAAGAGATCGAGACCATCCTGGCTATCAAGGTGAAACTAAATACCTACTAAAAAATACGAAAGCTTAGCCAGGAGTGGTGGTGGGCATCTGTAGTCCCAGCTACTCAGGAGGCTGAGGCAGGAGAATGGTGTGAACCCGAGAGGCGGAGCTTGCAGTGAGCTGAGATCGCGCCACTATACTCCAGCCTGGGTGACAGAGCAAGACTCCATCTCAAAAAAAAAGAAAGTTAATTCCTTTTTTTTTTTTCCTCACCCTATCTTATGGTGCTGAAAAGTTAATTTCTTAAGAGGGTGATCTCCTGGCTCTCAAATGCTATAATGATTAGTTCTGCTGCCTACTTGATTTCTTAGCCTCTGTAAATCCCCCAACGTCTTGGCCTCAATTTCCTCATGTGAAAAAAGGGGGATTGTGTCATTTCCTATCTGCCTAATGTGGGTCTATGCTATCTGAAGGATGGAGGTGCTAGGTGAATGCAAAGTGACATTTGTCTCAGCCGTAACAACAGGTGTGTTCTTTCTGTCACACACCTCAGTTATCTTTCGGACAAATATTATTTTCTTTTTTCTTTTTTTTTGAGATGGAGTCTTGCTGTGTCGCCCCAGCTGGAGTGCAGTGGCGCTGTCTCAGCTCACTGCAACCTCTGCCTCCTGGGTTCAAGCAATTCTCCTGCCTCAGCCTCCCAAGTAGCTGGGACTACAGGCACGCACCACCACACCCAGCTAATTTTTGTATTTTTAGTAGAGACGGAGTTTTACCATGTTGGCCAGGATGGTCTCGATCTCTTGACCTTGTGATCCACCCATCTTAGCCTCCCAAAGTGCTGGGAATACAGGTGTGAGCCACCGTGCCTGGCCTAATTTCATTTTTTTGATATCATCCTTCATAAAAGCACACTTCTCTCCATGATAGGTTAATAATGTGTATTGGGGGTTAACTCTTTGTGGCATTTGGCATTTGGAAACATTTACAGAGATTTGGCTTCTCATACGTCTGTATATGTACATCTTCAGATTATTAATTTGGCAGTGAAGTGTCTCATTCATTCTTGTTTTTTTTTTTTTTTTTTTTTTTTTGAGATGGAGTGTTGCTCTGTCACCAGGCTGGAGTACAGTGGCATGATCCTGGCTCACTGCAACCTCTGCCTTCCAGGTTCAAGCGGTTCTCCTGCCTCAGCCTCCTGAGTAACTGGCACTACAGGCGTGTGCCACCACACCCAGCTAATTTTTGTATTTTTAGTAGAGACGGGGTTTCACCATGTTGGCCAGAATGGTCTCAATCTGACCTCGTCATCTGCCCACCTCGACCTCCCAAAGTGCTGGGATTACAGATGGGAGCCACTGCGCCCAGCCTCTTACTCATTCTTGTACTTTTGTTCATGCCTTTACGAAATAAGTCATGAAGTATCCTGTCATTTGAACTTATAATGAGTAATAGGTCTAATCCTAACAAAATTATATTTGTAGAACTAGGTCATTTGAAATGTTTTTAATATATACGTGGCATGTAGCAAAATAATATTTACATTGGAAGATGAGAGAGAGGATCTTACTCCAAAAATTCTTAGACAATAGTTAAAACTCATGTTGTTTTCATCATTTTTGTTTGTTTGTTGGTTTGTTGCAGAAAGAAGAGTGGGAAATTGAAGGCTTCCTATAAACGGGATTGTTTTAGTGTTGGCAGTAATGTTGATATAGATTTTTCTGGACCAACCATCTATGGCTGGGCTGTGTTGGCCTTCGAAGGGTGGCTTGCTGGCTATCAGATGAGTTTTGACACAGCCAAATCCAAACTGTCACAGAATAATTTCGCCCTGGGTTACAAGGCTGCGGACTTCCAGCTGCACACACATGTGTGAGTGTTTATAATTTATTCCTTAGTGTCACTGCAGTTGCCCAAAAGATTGTTGCCATTAGCATACTGAGAGGTGATGGTGCTTAGTTTTAGCATGTCTTGGTGAATATCCATCCTTGCGGTGCTATCCTCATAGCAAAACCTTGCCAGGAGGCTGGTGCACGTGGTGTGCAGGCTGTGCTGCTGGTGGTCACTGGCCCCTCAGCCTGCACCCCAAACTTCAGGAAGCTCTAGCCTCTGTAGAAGAACCACTGGGATAGAGGGAGCCCAGAGCATGGCTTACCTCATGGTAAGATGACCCTTTGGAGATGTTACTGCTTCCTCTGCTCCCCTCTTATCTTGACAGTATGTGGAAGCAGGTCTGTTTGGGTCACCAACAACAACCACCAAATTGATTTGAGCATCCTGGGACATCCCAGTAATTCTGTGGAGGTTTCAGGTATTCTTGGTTGGAACCCAGGTACCGCTAATGCATTCAGAAGTAACAGGTGCTCTGAAAGAGTCCTGGGATTCAGCTATGTAGGCCGAACCATGTTGGCGGGCTGAATCGGAACTTTTACATAGTATTTTATGTTGGGCCTACTGGACACTGCTCCTGTACCAGGAAGAAGAAGCAAAGGGCAAACTGTGTTTTTAAACTGTTGCAGATTCCTCTCTGCTAGATGCTCTAATTCACTTAATGATGGCTAAAACAAAGGCAGGCAATGGCACAGACAGACAGTTACTGAAATTGATGAAACAGTATTACCAGGAAAACCGTGAAAACCCAAGGACTCATCTCTGGCATGCTTGGAAGCAATAACTAAGGTGGTTTGCTGGAGCAGTGCACCCTAGGTATTGTAGGAGGGTGCTTTGTAACTGTAGGATTGTGTTTCAAAGGAAATCCAGAATTGGTTTTATTCCTGTACCTCTACCTTTTTATTTTTTTTGCAGAATCTTTATTGAACTCTACTTTGAAGTTTCTAAGTTCTATGAACTTCTCAGAGACCTATAGATTATACTTACCTGAGGTGTCTGCCTTTGTGCTTAATTGAATTGTCTTAAGAAACTCACATCATGTGGAGGAGCCAAGTAAATGGATCAAGTGTTACATTTTAATTAAGCAGTCATTACTGGCATAGCTGGATTTAGTTCTGTGTTTTGTTTAGTAGTCATTTATGCTAGAAATTTGCTGAAATCTATAGTTACAAAATGGGTTCCTTGTTTAGATAGTCTTAGAATTTGTTTTCATACCATAATAACAATGGTACAAACTAGATATTTATGACGTTTTCTTATCTATGAAAACAGGAACGACGGCACTGAGTTTGGAGGTTCTATCTACCAGAAGGTTAATGAGAAGATTGAAACATCCATAAACCTTGCTTGGACGGCTGGGAGTAACAACACCCGTTTTGGCATTGCTGCTAAGTACAAGCTGGATTGTAGAACTTCTCTCTCTGTAAGAATGTGCTGCCAGATTGGATCTGCTCTTATGTTTGTGTCTAACTTTTCAGTGAATGTTGTGATATGAGTGTAGCTTGCTTGTTCTTTATTAATGTTAATAAGCCAGCTCATTGTGTAGTGAAAAGAATATAATATGGCCAGGCACAGTGGCGCACGCCTGTAATTCTAGCACTTTGGGAGGCCGAGGTGTGTGGATCACCTAAGCTCAGGAGTTCGAGACCAGCCTGGCCAACATGGTGAAACCCTATCTTTACTAAAAATACAAAAATTAGGTGGGCGTGGTAGGGGACACCTGTAGTCCCAGCTACTAGGGAGGCTGAGGCAGGAGAATTGCTTGAACCTGGCAGTTGCAAAGATTGCAGTGAGCCAAGATCACACCATTGCTCTCCAGCCTGGGTGACAGAGTGAGAGTCTATCTCAAAAAAAACAACAAAAAAAATTATGCTTGAAGTCAGGACATAGGGGTTCTTCTGTGCCTAGCTCTTCCTGTATATTTGTTGTCTGACCTTCTCAAGTCATTTTATCACTTTGGCCTTAGAATTTTCTTATTTGGAAATTCATGAGATTAGATGACTATTTCTGTTCTATTCTCTTATTAAAAATAACACTGAGCTCTTAAATTTCATGTACTGTGCTAAAGGCTTTACGTATATTATGTCATTTAACCCTCAGAACCACTCCATGTGGCGAGTAGTGTTATCTTCATCCCTGTTATACCGATGAGAAAACTGAGCCTTAGAAAGGTCAGCTAACTTGCCCAAGGTCACGTAGTAACTGGCAGTGCCACAGTTTGAACCTAGATCTGTTTTTCTGTCACCCGAGTTCATGCTGTAACCACTGTGAGAGATTGTCAGCTGGTATCTCAGGGAATTCAGGGTGTTTGGTTGTGTAGTGTTTAAAAATTTTGCTGGAGGCCTTGAAGCATGCATTCTTAAGGTACGTCCCACCCATACAAGTCCTGCTGACTTAAAAGATCAGTAATTCTGGCCGTGCGCGATGGCTCACGCCTGTAATCCCAGCACTTTGGGAGGCTGAGGCGGGGGATCACCTGAGGTCAGGAGTTTGAGACCAACCTGGCCAATATGGTGAAACCCCATCTCTACTAAAAATACAAAATTAGCTGGGCATGGGGATGCATGCCCGTAATCCCAGCTACTTGGGAGGCTGAGGCAGGAGAATGGCTTGGACCCGGGAGGCGGAGGTTGCAGTGAGCTGAGATCGTGCCATTGCACTCCAGCCTGGGTAACGAGAACGAAACTTCATCTCAAAAAAAAAAAAAAAAAAAATCAGTAATTCCGGATTGGCCCTAGGGTGCTTTTAGCGTTGGAAACCTGATGCACAAAGTGATAGTTGTATTGGACTGATCTGTAATTCACTGTTTTATGTTATTATTCTATCTCTTAATCTTAGGCTAAAGTAAATAATGCCAGCCTGATTGGACTGGGTTATACTCAGACCCTTCGACCAGGTAAGTAAAGGAATTAGTAACAGAGGGTCTGGGGTGGAAAGTGATAGAGAAAAAAATGAAAATAACCTGCAGAACAACCTATAGTCACTGTAAGTTGATTCGGACCATTTTGTAACATTTGGTTGTTCAGACAGAAAACAAAACAGATCAAATACTTTTTCATTAAAAAAGTATGTATTTCTGACTATAATGTGGTCACTCTGGCCTTTTGAGTTTGGTTGATCACTCATTGCCCTTAACCCTGAACTTCAGAGAAAGTTTGCCATGATCATGCGTTCCTCATTACACATCAGATGGTTATAAATAACCGATTGAGTAATAGCTGTTTGCTTATAGCTCTTATACCCAGCTACAATCCACACCATTGATTCCATCTGTTGTTTCTAGAAAGTTCAGATCTAATTGTTACTTGTTACAAGTGATTGTGGTGTTTTCTTCTTCCTAGGAGTCAAATTGACTTTATCAGCTTTAATCGATGGGAAGAACTTCAGTGCAGGAGGTCACAAGGTTGGCTTGGGATTTGAACTGGAAGCTTAATGTGGTTTGAGGAAAGCATCAGATTTGTCCCTGGAAGTGAAGAGAAATGAACCCACTGTGTTTTGGCCTTAAAATTCTTCTGTGAAATTTCAAAAGTGTGAACTTTTTATTCTTCCAAAGAATTGTAATCCTCCCCACACGGAAGTCTAGGGGTTGCGAATCCCTCCTGAGGGAGGCGCTTGAAGGCATGCCTGGAAGTTGTCATGTTTGTGCCATGTTTCAGTTCAGTTCTGCAGTGTTATTAAATGTGTTCCTCAGCGACAGTGTAGTGTCATGTTAGAGGAGACGATCTGACCCTCCAGTTTGTACATCACGTCCTGCATGTCCCACACCATTTTTTCATGACCTTGTAATATATTGGTCTCTGTGCTATAGTGGAATCTTTGGTTTTGCATCAGAGTAAAATAAAATAAACCCATCACATTTGGAACATAACTGCTCATCTGACTTGCTGGTGGTGGTTTTCTTACCTTTGATGTGATTTGTTTTAAGAAGCACTTTCACAGGCGAGATTTGTGTCTAAAGTGTCGGGGCTGCCGCCAGTCCCTTTCACTTCACTGAGCCCTGCTCTGTCTGCTCTTGCTCTCACAGGGCAGGCTGAGGAAGGAAGCAGTGAACATGGTTGTGCTGGGGAGCGGCACATCTGTTGTGCTTGTGGTATGATAGGGTCGCATCACCCCAGGAATTGTGTGCAGCTGCTGAGAAAGTGTGGGTGTGAGTGGGTGAAAAGATGGTTGAGGGAAGAGTGCATTTGGGGAAGCATGGGGAGGAGAGATGGGAGGAGGCCAGAGCTGGGTGGACACTTCTGGGGCTCCTCCTGGGCTTCAGAAACATGATTTTTTATTACTAGTATAGAAAAATGATAACCAAGGAATGAAGTACCAATTTAGAGAAGAAATGAGCAGACTATAATATCCTCAGGGATCACTGGTAAATCATCTTCCTAAAAGTAGAAGTCCTTTGAAAATCTTTTTTTTTTTGAGTTTAAGAGCAGAGGTTTAATAGTTGAGAGAAAAGAGAAAAGCTCTTTTGCAGAGAGAGGGGTTCCTGAGTGAGTCTTCTGGTTTCGTGATGAAATGCATAGGGTTTTATAGGCTAGCTTGAGGAGGTGGTGTCTGATTTACATCGGGTCTGAGAGATTGATAGGATCAGGTGTGCTGTTTGCATGAAGAAGCTGGCCATCCCACCCTAATCTTTTATTATGCTGATGGGGTCTCTACCTGGCTAGTGCCATGTTGCCTGCCTTTTTACTGCACATGTGACAAAAGGGAAGAGGAAGCCTCCATGTTGAACATGCCTGGCCCGCCGATAGCCTTTTCCTACTGGCACAGCTGCTGGCATGTACCCATGCAAGCTTCCAGCTTGCTTATCTATGCTTGCAGCTTGATATTTTTCAGGGTGCTTCTTTGTTAGAAATGATTTGGGGGTTGCTTTTTATTAAAAGGAAACCTTACCAATAGGTCTCTTGCCCTCACTATCTGCCTAAATAATTTCTTTCTAGCTCTGGTATCATTTCCCCTATAAGGAGTAGTAACTCACTGCTGGTAAGGGGGTATTGGATGATGACTCTTTCTGGCTACTTCCTGCTGAAGAGGGGTGTCATGTGGGGAACAGCAGTTAAGGCTTCTCCTGGGGTTGATTTAAGGGTCCTCGGAAGAAAGGTGTGTCCATGCGTGGCTCCATCTGTAGCACCATTTGGATGTTGCATCTTCAGCAACATTCTTTCCGATGAATGCACTTTCCAATCCTGGACAGGGCCCCAAAATGAAGCAGCGTTGTTGTCTGAGGTAAATACCCGAGGTTTGTTGTCTCATGCCAAGGAAATCGAGGACATGGACACACAAGAAGTGAGTTTAAGAGTGGAGGTTTAATAGGCAAGAGAAAAGAGGAAAGAAAAGCTCTCTCCTGCAGAGAGGGGCTCCTGAGTGGGTCTTCCCTGCATATCTCTTTTTTTAAAAAAGTACAGCAATGCAGTTTGCTGTTTGAATTTGTTTCTAAACAAGTTCAATTTAGAAGTAAATAAAAGTGAAAATTCTCATTCTTCTCTCTTAATTCCTTTTCTTCTGCCACTGACAGTTTGATATGTCCTTGAAGATACGTTTCAGTATCTTTAGAGATTATGTAAGTATCTATTTATATATACAAAACGTTAACACAGATACCTTGGCCGGGCGCGGTGGCTCATGCCTGTAATTCCAGCACTTTGGGAGGCCAAGGCAGGTGGATCACCTGAGGTCAGAAGTTTAAGACAAGTCTGGCCACATGGTGAAAAATACTAAAAATACAAAAATTAGCTGGGCGTGGTGGCGGGCGCCTGTAATCCCAGCTACTCAGGAGGCTGAGGCAGGAGAATCGCTTGAAGCAGGAGGCGGAGGTGGCAGGGAGCTGAGATGGTGCCATTGCACTCCAGCCTGGGTGACAAGAGTGAGACTCCATCTAAAAAAAAAAAAATTGGATATCTTGTTTTGCAGTATACTATTTGCTCACGTCTGCTTCATATTTTTGTTTTTTGCATGCTGTAGTATAAATGTGACATTACTTAACTATTCCCCTTTTTTGCTTATATTCAGTTTTTTGCTTTATAAACAATGCTGCATTGAATGTCCTTGTCTTTTTTTTTTTTTTTTCTCTTTTTTGAGATTGAGTCTTGCTCTGTCTCCCAGGCTAGAGTACAGTGGCGCAATCTTGGCTCTCTGCAACCTCTGCCTCCTGGGTTCAGGCAATTATGCTGCCTCAGTCTCCTGAGTAGCTGGGACTATAGGCATCTGCCATGATGCCTGGCTAATTTTTTTTAAGTAGAGATGGGGTTTCACCATGTTGGCCAGGCTGGTCTTGAACCCCTGACCTCAAGGAATCTGCCTGCCTTGGCCTCCCAAAGTGCTGGGATTACAGGTGTGTGCCACCGCGCCCGGCCCCTTGTCTATTTCTGTGACTGTTCCTGTGCCAGCACTGCCCAGCAGAGCTTTCTGGGTGATGAAGGTGATCTGTCTCTGCACTATCCTGTGTGGCAGGCACTAGCCACATAGGACTATGGATCACCTGAAATGCAACTAGGGGAACTGAAGAACTAAAATTTTAATTCAAATTAAATTAATTTTTTGAGACAGTCTTGCTGTGTTGCCTGGGCTGGAATGCAGTGGTGTGATCATGGCTCACTGCAGCCTCAACCTCCCCAGGCTCAGGTGATCCTCCCATCTCAGCTTCCTGAGTAGCTGGGACGACAGGCTCATGCCAGCACACCTGGCTAATTTTTGTATTTTTTTGTAGAGGTTGGGTTTCACCATGTTGCCCAGGCTTAATTTAATTTTAATTAAATTTAAATAACATGTGGCCAGTGGCTACTATATTGGATATTGGACAGTGTAGTTCTGTAGAATAGATTTCTAGAATTGAAATTGCTGAGCCATAGGGCATATGCATTTGCTAAGTAGTACAGACTTGCCATCCAAAAATTTTGTACCAATTTCTATATCGATGGTGTTTGAGTGTCCGTTTCCCCACATCCTCAGTGTTTTTTTTTAATTTTAATTTTTATTTATTTTTTGAGATGGAGTCTTGCAAATTGCTACTCCAGTTGCCCAGGCTGCAGTGCAATGGGGTGATCTTGGTTCACTGCAACCTCCGCTTCCCAGGTTCAAGCA